GGCCAGTCAGAGGTATTTGTGGCAGTGGGAGCTCAAGAGGCGCTTCAGCCAAGTTGCCTAGAAGACAGTGGGTCAGGAGAACCAGTATTCCAGCTGTTGGAACATCTCCAGAAAATTTCTTGCTGAGTATGGAGAGTGTTTGTTCTCAGGATGTTCCAGGATCCGGCAGTGTGCGTCTGCAGTGGGAGCCGGTAGGGACCGAGGACGAGTCAGGGGCAGATTTTGCCGTGACTGATGTGTTGGAGCTTGGGAGAGCTTCAACGGGCCTTTCAGTTGTCTGATGTTAGGGCCGCTGCAATAGGAGAGCTGAGGAAGATTACTCGATGTACAGGGAATCATGGTGGATGGCAGTTGATGACTATCAAGCCTCCAAGTGGGAGAATGTTGGGTTTGTGGAGGCTTGGGCTTGACTTTTGGCCCGGCCCATTTTACGAAACCCTAGATGCACTCTTCCAATATATATTGCATACTTGTAATTGTCACCACAAGTGAAATAAGAAATTCCTCCTGTTGCAGCCGTGGATTAGGAAAACCGAACCACGTTAAATTCTTGTGTGTCGTTTGTGTTCTGTTTCTCTCGTTTCTCGCAGATTATTTGTGTGTGTTGTGTGTTTTTATTCCCAACAATATATATATAGATGACATACACACAAGACACAACAAGAGGTCTCGGGCTTCAGGGAAACGCTTCTCCAACAGAATCTACAAAAGGGAAAAAAGCAAAAAATGACTCAAAAACAAAGGACTTTGAACGGCTTTACGCTCACACATCGGAAGTATATAGCGACGATTTGGGGGCAGTGATGGCGAGGGATATCGCCGTGCGGTGTGGGGGGGGTCGGTCTGCCATCTAATCTAGGGATAAGCTCATACATATAGGGATCGGAGTATATAAGAAAGGAAACAATTTTTATTAGCGAATTAATTATAATGTCGCCGGTAGGATTGCCTCCAGGTTTCCGGTTCCACCCAACAGATGAAGAGCTGGTGAACTATTACCTCAAGAGGAAGATTCATGGCCTTGAAATTGAGCTTGATATCATCCCTGATGTCGATCTCTACAAGTGCGAACCTTGGGAATTAGCAGGTTCAATTCTTCTAAGTTATTCTTTTTTGAGTACTATTACCTTGTCATAAAATATTTGTTCATTTTTTATTTTTTTAGTCAATCGTGATTTTTATCTATAATTACAAAAATTACATGGTTCATTAATTACACATATTTTGCGAGATAAATTGAATTTTTTTAATTACTTAAGAATCAAAATTTGTCAATTTAGAGTACAAAAAATTAAAACTAAACAAATACGATGATACAGAGTTAATATTAACTTATTATCTCTTTTTACATATTTTATCAATCAATTAAAATACAAAGACTAAATACTTATATGAGATTTAAACTTAAGAAATCATCTAGAAGTAAAATATACTCCCTCCGTCCCATAATGTGTTACCCATTTTGACTAAAGTTGAAATTAAGGGAGTGATAATTTTGTGTTGACTTTCCAAAAATACCCTTGATGTGATGGGTAAAAGTAGGATGTGATGCGTAGATTATTAGGAAAAAGGTATGATGATCCAGGTAGGGTTTGAAAAAGTAAGGGGTAAAAATGGTTTTTTAATAGAAATGGGTAAGGGATTGTGGGACGCATTTTTTTTTAAAAACAAAATGCGTGACTAATGATGGATCATGGATGACAAACTAAATATTCATTTCGTGTTTTAGATGCTAGCTTATTACAAAGGACTCTCATTAACTAAAATTAGTTATCAAATATAATATCGAATATAAAAAAACAAAGGATGATGAGAGTCACATCCTACTAAAAGACTAAATTGACCTCACAATAATTTCACTCTATTATTCTCTATAAATATGTTTTAATCTTGTGTTTCACACGAACTCATTGATATTCATATTTTGTCAATATTATACTACCGCAGTCCTACAAAAATTATCCACTTAAGGAAAACGTGAGATATAAGGAATGCTAAATTTTTTAGTATTACGTTCTAAATTCTTTCTTTTTTTATTAATAAAAACCACCACAAATTTTTCGAAAAAGGAATGTGTTATACCCGAACCCGAGGTCTTATCATGTAGATAATTTGAGGGTGGGATTACGGAGGAATTGGTAGAAAACTAGAACAACCTTTAAACTTCAGGAATGCCAGATAGTCGATTGTCACAATTGTGATAATCGATTATTGGTTGTTTGGTTTAGGCGAAGAGAATTCAGAGGGACCAGATAGTCGACTATCAATAGTTGATACTCGATTATTGGGCTTTGCAGCAGACGCCGAGAAAGTCCTGAAGGGTGAGGTAGTCGGCTGACAGAAAGGTGATAATCGACTGTTGGTGACTGCAGGACTTCTGGGGGCAGCGATAGTCGATTGTTGTGAAATGATAATCTGGGCAGGGAGAAGGATGTTTTGTGTGGGGATGGCTGGAAATATATGGGGATGATGAAAGAGTTCTTTTGGTATTTTAATGGAAGAAAAGAGTAAGGTTAAGAAGAGAAATGTGGGAATATGAAATGGAAGAAAATCAGGGATGGATAAACCAAGTTGGTGTTTAAGAGATATTACACACTCTTAGCCTAACTTGGGGTTTGAATCTAGAATTCAAATAAGATATTACACACTTATTTAAATATCTAGAACCTAAAACTCTCACTTAAGATAACCACTCTTAAGATATAGAATTAGGAATTTGGCTAAGATAGCATCACACTATTTTAATAATACTCAAAGAGTAAAAGGTTTTAATATTCAAAAGATGTGTTACAATGGCCATAAGGCCTGAGTTATATAGGCAGGGGAAGGGGGAAATAATACACAATGCAATGAATGTGAACATGAGGAAGCTTCCTAGCAACATCCTCTCTCAAAGCATGGGGCATTCTTCATTCAAACCTGTCTCCTTAGTGGGATAAAGTTCAGGGATGGGGCTGGTGTTGTGGGGGTTTGTGTTTTGGTTCCTTGTGGTTGTTTCTTGGGTTTTTTTGTGGCTATTATTTAGGTAAAAATGGGGGTTGTTTTTGGCTAATAAAAGGGGGCAGGGATGGGGGATATAATGTGTGGTTTTGGACTTATAGGTTTGGGTTATTTGCAAGGGAACATGGGCAGGAAATATGGCTGGTGGTGGGTCATGGTTTTTGGCTCTTTGTTGATGTTGTGTTGGGATTGTGAGGGATATTTGTCCAGGGATTTAGAGGAAGGGAGAGAAGGTTTTATTTGTTTATTAAAAGGCTTAAAAGAAGGAAAATAACAACAAATAAAAGGTGTTGGTTTACACACTCTTATTTTCGGCCATGGGCTAAAATAAGTGTAGGAAAACTTTATTTTGAAAAGAATTAAATGGAAAGGAGATTTGGATGTTTAGGGTGGGGTTTAGCGGAGTGGGAGGCGGCCTGTGGAACCCTTGGGTCCAAAGTTAATCTGGCCTCTTGGGTTGAAGGACTAAAACGGATCATAATGTTTGAACGTAAGTCCTTTGGTTTTTGCGAGGGTGTGGGACATGGGGGAGGGTATGATAGGGCCAGGCCCGGATATAACATCCTCCCGGTCTTCAAAAGAGTTTGTCCTCAAACTCGGAAGATCTTCAAAATCCTCGTACGGGCCAAGATCTCTTCGATGAAACGTGGCAGCAACTTTTAGGCCTCGTGTAAGATCGACCACGTAGGAGTTTTTATGAACCTTTACCAACACTTCAAACGGACCATCGTCTCAGGGTTGTAGCTTTGACTTGCGTTTATTAAATAAACGCGCCTTATAAACGCGCCTCATAAAATAATCAGTCACAATCAAAAAACAAAAAAAGTAACTGAGACGATATTTTTAGGACGAAAAGTGTATTTTTATATTGTTATATTTCCAATTAGGTTTTAATCATACAAAATTATTTTCCTTGTCATTTTCTCTTTTTTTCTTTTCAAATTATTGGAACCAAACATAGTTTAAAACTTTCTCTTTACATTGTTTTAATTATTAAAATTAAACTTGTTTCAGAGAAGTCATTTTTGCCAAGCAGAGATCCGGAGTGGTATTTCTTCGGACCAAGAGACAGGAAATACCCAAACGGATTCAGAACAAACCGGGCAACCCGAGCAGGGTATTGGAAATCAACCGGAAAAGATCGGAGAGTGACGTCACAAAACCGGTCGATCGGAATGAAGAAAACATTGGTTTACTACCGAGGGAGAGCTCCTCAGGGGATCAGGACGGATTGGGTTATGCACGAGTATCGGCTTGACGATAGAGACTTCGAGGATATATCCGCCGGCATTCAGGTGGTTGGTATTCTCATCGTTTTACTCATTATTTCCATTTAAAACACTTATCATACAATTTAGGATGGATAAGGATATTTGAAATGATATGCTACCTCCGTCCTAGAGTATTTGTCTACTTTCATTTTTATACACCATTCAATACACTTCTTTAATCCATTTTATCTTGTAATTTGTATATTAAAAAATTATAGAAATTATATATTAATAATCTATATGTTAAGACAAATAAAAAAAGATCACACATGACTATATTTAGGCTTACACATTGAGAGAATTTGATGAGTCAAAGTGCTTAGATGAACAGTTCCAAAAGTCAAAACTCGACGAATACTCCGGGACGGAGGGAGTATAAGACACTTGGATAAAATCATCTTAAAAATTTAAACTTAATTGATTAATTAATTTGATTCAAGAGGTAAATACTCATGATACTTTAACACACTCATCAAGTATAAAATCCATAGTTTTCAGAATTGGACCGGAGACTGAACATGTCAAGGTTGGTTCACTGGACCGACCAGTGGTTCAAGTGCTCGTATCACGTGAGAATGCACATTGGTGAAAAAAATAAGAATAAAACCTAGCATTTGGATCTGATTCATCGTGCGGCTCAGATTGCATCATGTGCTCAGATTTTGAGATAATGCATTTTCAAAGGATTTTGGTGCATTTTGACATTACGCATTTTCAAAGCATTTAGGTGCACCTAATTTTGATGCAATAATGACCCTTAGATCTCACAATCTAAAGCACCAGATTCATTCTTATTTCTTTCATAAGATTTATCCGATTTTAGGAGAGAAATGAGAATGAATCCGGTGCTTTAGATTATGAGATTCTAGGGTCAGGATTGCATCAAAATTAGGTGCACCAAAACGGTTTGAAAATGCATCATGTCGAAATGCACCAAAATCCTTTAAAAATGCACTATCTCAAAATCTGAGCACATGATGCAATCTGAGTCGCACGATGCATCAGATCCAACGGCTAAATTTTATTCTCTTTTGTCTCCACAAGGTGCATTCTCACGGGAACCGGCCCATATATATATATATATATATATATATATATAATATATATATATATATATATATATATATAT